CTATTTTATTTGGATATCTGATGGACAAAGTTTCCAAATGTGGTTCATTTATTCAAATATTTGTTTGACTTTTGGTATGTTTGCAACCTTTATTTCTGCTATGGTTTCTTTCAGTTTAATAAAGAGAGTTCATAAAAGATCAGAAAAAGCCAATGGTATGTTAACAGTTGAAGGTGAGAATTGAAGGTGAGAAGTAAAATTTTAAGAGTTGACAAAGTTCAGTCTGTTTCGATACTAAGCACATTAAGGAAGGTGTTTATTTGTTGTTTAAAGTACTATCATGTGTTATGATTATAAAATTCTATATGAATATGCCATTTTGTAAAATATGTATAAACATTAATTTATGTTGATGAATTAATCAAAGTAGAAGGTACATTTTGTAGTTTTTAATATTAACCATCATAGTAGTAAATTCCTTTAGTTTTGTCTTTATAAAAACAAGATACATGCACAGTTGCAATCTTTGAAACCAAAATAAGTTATGCTTTATTTTGTACCCGAAAAAGTAGCTTTTCTCTGGTAACATTCCAATCACTTAATTATCTACAACGCCATTCCAATAGACATAACGTGAGAGGTCAAAGAATTGCGCCTTTTCTGACGTGTTTAAATGTGGTGGTTTTTTTCTCTCAATATTTTGGGACAACACATATGACAAGGTTCTATAACCGGCTGATACATATATTTTATCAAGATGACTGCCATACATGTTAATAACAATATAAATATAACGTATTGAAGTAATAACTAATTTTATATTTATGTTGTAAATTCTGGGCATTGCATTCATATCTGCTAAATATATTTGATGGATATTCCTGAAGAATAGTATTTCTTTATTACAAGTTTGTAGATAAAACTTCTATAAATGTTTTCAATGGGATAATATAAAACCATTCACAACATTTTCTTTTTTTTCTGTACTGTTAACGTATTTTCAAACCATTCTTTTAATGTTGTTTTGTGGGTGTTTACTTGTGTTAGTTCATGTATTATGCTTACTACGGAAGTAAGCTAAAGATATCCAGACCCAATTTCGGATTCATAGATAGTGAATCTTACACTTTCATGAATGTATGTTATAAACCAAATTGATCTTAAATTAAGTAAAATGTTTTTAAAGACCATCCTCACTCGAATGTTAATCTTTGATTTGTTGATTATTTAGCAGTTGTGAACTTGATAATTTGCAACAATTTAGTTATATGTTTAAATGTTAATGAAGAAATGCACACATGTGGTTATAATATTATACGAACTATTTATACATGTTTGCTATAAATAGAGGCTTTGTTTCTCCCTAAATGTATGTTAGTATAGAAATGAAATGGATTGGTATAAATCTGTCATTGATATATGATTGCCTTTATTCCGAACAAGATTGTTAGCATCTATATATATTTTTTTCCAACATTGAATGTTCTATTCCTGCATGTACATGGGCCATCAATGGCTTACTACTTAATAAAGATATATATAATGATTAATGTACAATATGTTTGTTTGTATGTAGTTTAAGTCAATAATATGTTCTTCTTCTTATTCTCATTTTCGTTGTATTGTATGTTTACATATGATACATTTATAAAAAAATATACTTATTTTGTTATTATGAAACCAAAATTTAAACCAGTTACAACTCATGCAAAATATAATGCAAGTTATTTCCCTACGTATGAATATCAAATGAAAGCAATGATTTGCTTATATCTAAAAAAAATATGACCAGGTGCTGTTCTTTGTTTATATCAAGCGGCAATCGTTTATTTAAAAACAATATATTTTGAAACCAAAATAAACAATACTTGGTTAAAAAAAGAAACAATTACTGTTGCATTATTTGTAAATATAAATGTAGCATCTGCCATCAGCTGCAATACTTTTTCAGCCACAATAAGCTCCATGTGCAAGATAAGCATCAATTTAAATAAATACAACGCTATATGGTTGTGTGGTCATAGGCAGTTTTTTTTCGACAAAATATATTTACAAATCTTCACTGTTTTTATAAAAAATAAACACACACATATATATGCATGAGCGCATCGCTTCGAAGCTTTAAGATAATATCGGGCAATTTTTTTAGAGTTTCTTCACTAGTGAATATTATTTATGGTTGTCAAATTTGTTTAGCTATGCTTTCATTTGATGCAATTACTTAATGTTTATAATTATGTTGATATGCTGATTGCATCTGTACTGGGCAAACTAAAGTGACAACGTTGTGGCGTCACTTACCAGGAATGTATAAAAAGGTAGCTTTTAACCTGTAGTTAACATAAACGTTTTCTGTCTATTTTTCAAATTTGATGTTCAATTATAAACAGTTTATTTGAAAACTTGAGTAAGAAAGCGATGTAGTGATGACACACTAAGGTATGCAGTGGGCATGATACTATGATGATTGCACAAGCGACTTCTTAGTTCGATATTTTCGAGAGCTCCGTGTCTATAAGGTCAAAGAGAAGACAAGTATTGGCAGTCGTACTGGGCTGCAGCTGTCTTGACACCAACAGAGGAAGATTATCTGGCTAAATAGGCTGTCCACATGGCTAAGGTTAGACAATGTTTTCTTGATGCAGATATTGCTAAAATCCTGGATTCATTTGTTAACGCCTCTATGGAGTCTCTCAGAGAGAACCATATCAACTGTCAAAAGATAGGACTGTGCTCGCTCTGGTGAAGATTCAGAACTGGTTCATGGCGTTCACTGATTTCATTGCTGATGGCATGAATGACCCTTCCTTGTGATAAATACTATTACGCTGTCTTAGTGTGGACGAATGAGGGTTTCCCTTTCGTCCCAAAAGCGGGAAAGTTCTCGCACCCAACAGCGTCCCAAATGTTTACAATTTCACATCTCGGATAAAACTCATATCCCGCTTGTATGAACTCTGCATGATGTTATTTCAAACCACTAACAATATATCCAGGTAAACGATTTGCCAGTTATGTTCTTGATTGTTTGGAATCTGATGAAATGGGGAATATAGATGGACAGCGGACTGTTTCTCACTTGGCTTAAGATGTATCTGACCCAGAATTCATTTGTTGATGGCTACTCAACCTATTCTACACCTGAAGCTTGAACGTTATGCAGATATAGCAATATTGTTCTTCTCTGTTTACTTGCACATGCATCCTACATTATGCAACACTGTGACCTCACACTCTTCACTTTCTTTACAGTATTGTAGAAACAATCAGAAGAAATAAGAAATAACCAAGTCTTTTTATCTATAATAGTTGAAACACCACCAATCTTACAACACATTGCAAATGTTGACCCATTTGTGTGTCTTATCATCCAAAATGTCATTCCCTGAAAGTGTTTCAGTTGAATTCAAAGAAATTCTGAACTTGCCCGTTTCAAAACCTTGTGGTTTGAAATCATCATCTAAAGTAGTTTGTGGGTGTGGTTGTTTTTGCTTAACAACACGTTTTATGTCATATGTCGCAAAAAAAGGAAGAGTATTTTAGCTACTCTCAATGGTACAAAGTGCAAAGCAACACAAGGGGTCAAACCATTTCGCCTGCAGGAGCTAACAAATGCATAGACTGCAGTTATTCGAACGAAATAAGTTGCCTCTTAAGATCAACCAGGGATAATGGTGGCTACAATTATTATGCCTGTATAAGTCGATGAAGAGGAGGAAAGAAATAAAAAGATGAAAAGAAAACGGACTTATAGCATAAACGCATGTAAGAAACAGAACGTTAACAAAAACTGAAAGAAGATTGTGTATATCAGGGGAAATTGAAAGAGCTACAGAAGAAAACCAGGCTAATCGTAAAAAATGAAAAACATAATTACACGTTGACACTGACAGCAATTTCAGAACCCGAATATGCAGATGATTACCTACATAACGTTGAACCATTTGAAAATTGAGCTTACTGAGCATGTGAGTGATTGCTATTATATTTTTTTTCTTTTACTTGCCTCCTAGACTATGATAAATGAAGATAACAGGAGTCATGTTGGTCATAAATTTCCACATGTCCTTTACGTAAACGAACATTTCGTTTTGCCGTTAAAAGATTAACAAAGAATGTCTTTGATATTTGGAGATGGTCTGTCTAATGCAACGAAAAGAATAGTTTCATGAAGCTTTTGCAGTTTTGCATTTTTATACTTTTTATGTTGATTAAAACAAATGAACAAAAAAAACACCTGACTTTACTATTACAAATGTCTCAATTCATGATAGAGCTGTTATAATTACTGTCAATATAGCTGTATATCCAGCTTTTAACTCAATTTAAAGAATTTTTGTAGGTTAACTAGTTAAAATGGCAGGCAAAAACGTTTCTAAGTGTATGTTCACTTAATGTTCCGTCATGTCAGGAGTGTCTTCTTTATGCATATGACTGACTTGCATGTCTGATAGAGTTACAAACAAAGTAAACAAAGTATAAAGCATTTGTTTTAACGAACAATATATGCAATAATTAAATGGTCTGCTTCTTAGGCTCATTCTTTAATGACCATGAGTATATGTAAGATCTTAACTGTCAACTAAAGAATACCGTTATTTATGCAATGTATCTATAACATTTCAAGCCTTAAATGTAAATATCGAATAAGCTATAATCTCGCTCAATTGATGTATGAAATTAAAATATCAATCAAGTTCAATTAACATATAATTATACTATTTTAGATAGACAATTCAAATGTCAAAATCTACTTACTAGAGTTCCAATATAAATATAATGTACGTTGCATTTAAAGATACAATTTACACATATGCAGACAGAAAAGTTTTAAAAGTAGAACAGTTTTGATGATTTTAATATCAATTTAAATAACGAGATGATTAATTAATTGTTTAATTAATTAATTAATTAATTAATTTATTAATTAACTGACATATTTGGATTTCGTTCCAACCTTTAGTATCAAATGCCGACCTGTTAAGTGTCATACGTTGTCATAAAACATTTATTTAGGTATAAACAGGAAAAAAGGTATGCTTCCATTAAAATATACAATGCAAACAATCCAAGATAAATAACTTATATTCCTTGTTGTGAATAGGTCATTCACGTCCATTCCTATTTATAATATTAATCTTGTGCTGATAACAAGGTAAACGTAATCCGAACATAAGTTTATACATGGAGTAACTTTTATCAGTAACATGTATGCGATTTATACATTGTGCATATTTGACTCAAGGTTAATTGGTGGTAAACAAACACTCCACTAAATATTTGGATAGACTAATGATATCAATATTGAATCACTGAATTTTGTTTACGCTAATTTGTGTTTTATTCTTTCTATATGTATGAACATATTTTATACAAGCTGGTTTAGAAACTGCAAAAAAATTGTTCAATATGGCGAAATGATTTATACGATAAAGTAATTGAGTAAAAGTTAACAAATCAGGCTAGCAACTATAAAAATGTGAATTTTCGGATTATCTATTCCTAATTGTGACGTAATCGATTCGTGTACACGTGGATTGCTTATCCCTTTAATTGTGACATCATCGTAAAGAACTCAACAGGAAAGGTCACTGATAAGAATGCAACAGGAACGAAACAGGAGACGTCACTGAACAGAACGCTACAAGAACAACAGGAAATGACGATGCATGATCAAAATGATTCGGCAAGCAAGCAAGAATTTAACTCAAATGAGACAACCAAAACAGTTATAGAGTACGGGAGAAATGGGAAAGTACAAAACAAAAATGAAGAGAACTTGACATTTAAGCATCAAATGTTACATACAATTTGTATCTGTATCAGCATCTTTACACTGGTAATGTTTTTGTTATTTCTTGCACTTTTCACACATTTAAATGACATTTTATAGATCTAAGTTGTTATTGACTTGTTATCAAATTTAATCTTAAACTAAAAACTTAGCTAGAGACATTATCAGTTTAATCATGTCTTTTGTGGGCTTATTTTAAGCATGATCACTATTAAAGTTAATCAGCTACATAAAAGAAAAATTAATATGAATAGGTCGGACAAAATAAAGCTCTAACAGAGGAATAACATAATTTAACCTTCTGTTATGCTGCAGGGATGGAGAAACGCTTTGATTGGTCCAACTTTGCCTGATCTTAGAATCATTTTAGACGAGAATCTTGCCACGACATCTTGGATATTTACAGCTAAGTCACTAGGGTAAGTTTGATGTGTTTCATTATAGTAGAGATGTTTTTTTTATATTAACTTGATGTTTTGTATTAGGTTGTTTGGTGTTATTTGGTAGACGATCACGAACATTCATTCAATAGTATATATGAGTAAGAAATAGTGAAAAATTTAAAACAAACACTTTTATTTTCATGCAACGCCTTACAAGTAAATTACTTTCGATTTTTTTTAATACACTTTGTTTATTACTTTCTATCATATTTCTTTAGGGCTACAGTTTTTCTATCCGTTGAAATTACTTAACAATGACAAATTTGTTCTATTATTATGAGTAATACATTAGTTTAATAGGTACGGTGTTCTGGCGGTTTGCTTACTGATGTTTAAATACGAAAGATTCGCACATTCGTAAAGTCGCCCAGTGAGTTCTATTGTAAGTCATTATAAGTGGGTAAAGTCTGTTACAAACTAACCACTATGCAGCAATCTACAAATAAGTTTTCATATAGTTTATTTAACCGCATTATGGTTTTGCTGGGTTAATGACCTTACTTTGATGTAAGAAAACAATGTTTCGCACTTTTTTCATGTTTGGTTAAACAACGACAATTTCTGTTTTTTGAATTTGTATTTTTTCATGCTGAAAATGAGTTTATAATTTTCTCTATTACGAAATGATCAAATATTGTCTTATTATGAGATTATATTTGTTTTCAGTGGATTACTTGGTGCTATCTGTGGTGGTTTTGCTTATGATCGTTTCAATAAAATAGTAGTGTTCGTCGTCACTATTATAGTTATGGGTGTTTCGGCTGCCCTCACACCTTGGTGCTACCACCTGGCGGCAATGTTGGTCGTTCATGGGTTTCATGGAATTTGCGCAGCTGCTCTTGAAACAGGTTTTATTTAATTTTTATCTAAACGTTAAATGAATATTTAAAAAGAATTCGCGCAAGTTATAGAACAAACATTCACATGCTCTCATGTTGAATAAGTAACTGATATAGATAGATGAAAATCACATTAATTGTTCATAATATTTTAAGAGTAGAAATGTAATATGGAAAGATGGGTAATGTTTGAAATGTACATTTTGTGTTTCCCATTTTCAGCGGCAACAGCTGACATGGCCCTTGTGTGGAAACAGAAAGCCGGACCTTATATGCAAGCTGTGCAATTTGCGTTCAGTGCTGGAGCGATTGTATCCCCTTTGGTTGCAGAGCCTTTTTTAGCCGATTCAATTAGTTTTCCCGCTAATTTTGAACCGCTTGTTTCAAATACTTCCACGTTGGCACCACCGTATTTGAAAACGACAGGAAATTTAAAAGCTGTTACTGAAAGTCAAAGTGAACAAATAAATGGCAACACTTCTGTTACTGTATACGGAGAAACGTTAATTTATATTCCATACGGTGCGACGTCACTCCTTTGTTTACTGTCTGCCGGTTTTTATGTTGTGATTTACTGCGTTTACGGCAGTGTATATAACACTCTTAATAATGTTCCTGATTGTGAAATAAGTTCAAATCGAAACCGATACTTCTTGAGTAAAAAGGTGAAATATATATTTACCATGCTATTAGCATCGGCTATGTTGCTCTATGTCGTAAGTGAACATAGTTTCATAGGATTTCTCATGACATTTTTAGTATCGGAGCGAAAATGGAGTAAAGCAATGGGGTCTGTAGCGTCTTCTGTATTTTGGATTACTTTTTCAGTTGGCCGATTAGTTGGAATTGTTGTTATAAAGTTCATTAGTATGTCCTCAATGATTTTCATATTTAGTGTTATATATACTTCAGGTTCGGTGTTATTTCTCCTAGCTGTGATATTTGATCAAGTCATTTTGGAGTGGGTGTCCATTGGAGTTATTGGTTTCGGAATGTTTGTTCTATTTAGCTTAGTATTTTCATGGTTGTCTAAAAATGTCCGCACTTTGACGGGTAAAATGGCGAGTATTTTCTTTATCTTTATGAGCGTTGGGAACATGGGTGTGCCTATTTTAATTGGATATCTGATGGACAAAGTTTCCCAAATGTGGTTCATTTATTCAAATATATGCCTGAGTTTTGCTATGTTTGCAAATTTTATTTTTGCTTTGGTTTCTTTTAATTTAATGAAGAGAGTTCATAAAAGATCAGAAAAAGCTAATGTTATGTTAAAAGTTGAAGGTGGGGTTTAAAATGACAAAGTGAAAATCGTTTTCGAAATAAATTACATAAACAAAAGGTTCGTCTTATGTTGTTTAAAGTTTTACTTGCTTATATAGGTTTGTATTACAAAATTATGTCCTTCTGTACAGTATGCATTCATGAATAAGTAATACTAGCAGGTAGTTCAAACATCAACCATCCTAGAAATATGTACCTAGTTTTTTTTTAAGTAAAACATGATACAGTCGCACTTCTAGTTAAAAAAAGTAATGAGTATATGAGCACCCACCACCCGCCATACCCGGGTTCAGTTATTTTTACATGGGAGTTCACAGATTTGCGTCCATTCTGCTGAATGTGGGTGATATTCGACAAACATTTCCTGTTTCACGGGGCGGGGGCGGGCTTTTGCATCAAAAAAACTGAAATGAGGTCCAAAAGTCACATCATTCCTTTTTACAGCTAAACTCGTTTGTATTCAATCTTGGCCTAAATTAAGAATGGTTGCAATGGAATGATGGTGATGTAAGAACTTGTGTCACCTGCAAGTTAAATATTAGAAGGTACTTCGCTTACAATATCGTTGATGTAAACAATATCGTTGATGTAAACAAAACAAAAAAGAGGACCAAGGAGTTTGCCTTCAGGTAAATCTGGAGAAATGATAGCGATGAAGAGAGGAACATTTTGGTACTGGACTCTTTGTCACCTAGAAGAGAAAGAAGAGGAAAACAATTGAAGAAGTGCTCATTTGGCATAAGTTTGCAGAGACCAATAACTTAGTTAACATAATTAACGTCAAAAAGAAATATCACATATATTTACTGATAAATTTATAAAATATCAACAAAAATAGATAAAACGTAAAACATGTCAACATAAATAATTGATGCTGATGTTACATTTATTTTCTTCTTAAAAATTAAAGTGTTAACTTAATCTACTCTTGTGGGATAAAAAGACTATGCTATGTATACCTCCTTCAGGACCTTAAATAAGTACATGTGTACCAGTTTCCATGTTGATGAATGATTTTTGTAGTATATCGTAAAGTCTTTGAACCGAAATGTGTTTTGGTGGGTTCAAATATACACAAAGATTATTAAGATATTGTAAAAAAAATATTCTCTCAAAAGTTTCTAAATAATTTAGTTGATTAAATGAAATGAAATTTATACGAAGTCTGTATTGTGTATTTGCTTATTCGTTGTTCAGGTGTTGACAAATTATTTTGCATAACGGATCATACAAGTGTATATATGTAACGTGCTTCAATTACGAAAAAATGCATATTTGATAAATTTATTTTTTACAAACTAATTAACTTTAAATTAAAATTAGTTCTTATCATGACTTATTTGTTATCTATGACATAATATAAACAAACAAAGAAAAAAATAAGGATAACAATTAATTTAGTTCGATACAGTTAAAGAAAAATAAAATAATTTGAGACAAAAAAAAGTGTAAAGGAAGAAATGTTGAAATAAAGAACTAAGTAATATGCGGATTCATTAGGCGGTTTTCGCGGATGCAGGTATGAACGGTTTCAAGCAGTCGCATGTCATAAATACAAGGATTGTGAAAAAAAATAAAACAGATGAAATTATTGTAAAAAATAACTTTTTTGTTAACAATTATCACACGCATTTCTCATTATATTGTTAACATCTGTGTAATACCAAACGTAAATTATTGGCTCGAAATCAACACACCGTGTTAAATACCCCATGCTCCGCTGTGGAAATTATTGAATACATGTTTATGAGCCAGAGCGACACGGTGCTTTACTATTTACAATATAACATAGTATTTATGTAACTTTAAAATGGTGGACGTATGTGAAATCAGTGTTAAAATGGAGAAAAATGAATGTGAAAAGTTTATAGTGGAGGTTGATAATGGGATAAACATGCGAAATAAAGGAGAAATAGATAAAAATACAGAGAAGGTCAATTACAGACATCGATTTATGCACACTGCATGTTTGTGTTTTAGTATGTTTTCCTTGGTAAGTGTATGGTTTATGTTGTTTTCTTGATAAATAACAAGATGGAGTATGTTCAAAATAATGAAAAGTCAGTGTTATATATAATGGAAATAAACAACTCAAGCTGGGATAATGTGACTTAACGTTTTTTCATGTTATCGTAATATCTAAAATATGCAAATTAAATAACTTGCTTAAAGTGACATAGCATCTTTAATTAAAATATCCTTCACATATATATACCCACCATATGTTTTATTTAGTTTATTAATACGGAGAGATATTAAACATTATGTTGAACTTAGTCAATATACAATGTAATTGTTAATTTAGATTAAAGAATTTGCTACTTAAAGTCAGTGTTTAATACATTGATCGATCTTGTTATACAAACATATCTTAAGAAATAAATTTATTAAAAAATTAGGTTATGATCATTTTTAATTTCTATAGTATAGTATATAATGATATAATGAAAGGTTAAAAATAAGTTTTCTTCAGTACATTCAATATATATACGCTAGCTGTATAGCCGAGATAAACATATTGTAATATAATAGTAAGTATTTTGCACCGGGCTGGAATAAATGTTTTCACATTAAACTGATGGTAAGATAGTATCATATTCTCATTGCCTAAACATAACATTAATTTAATCACCTTTATTTTGTATGAAAAAAATCGTTAATATATGTTTATGAGTGTACTTAAAAATTTGTAAAAATTACAAATAATGAAGTAATATTATAAGATACAACATAAACTATTTTTGTTTCATACACTTCAAAATGTATTACTCATATATTTTTTTAGCATGCGATTATGTCGTTTAAGTTTGATAAATACCAAATGAAGTAGCTTTGGTTGTGACTTTATTCATTATAAATAGAAATTACATCCTTACGGAAACGTATATGAACCCCTCTTCTGTAAAACAGATTTAGCATTTACTTGTTTACTTTGCATATGCACAACCAACATCTCATACATGATATAACATTTTAAATTTGTAATTTATTCCGTGCGAAAATGTCTCTTTAAATGTCGGGATTATTTATTAAAGTTTTTTGGTTTGTTATGAATATTATGAAAGCGTCTAGTTGTTTTTGCTTTTCCACATCATACTAACGTTAAGTTTGATTTTCGGCTTAATAAGTTACGGAAAGTGACGAAACACGATTTAATGAGGGAATTTGTCAATTTTACTTAAATGAGGGACATTGTAGATTTTACTGTAGCTTATGATATGAATTTGTCAATTTGACTTGAGAAAATGAGGGAATTAGTTCATTTAACTTGTATTAATAACGAAATTTCCCGATATAACATGGGATTTATGAGGGACTTTGTCGATTTTATTTTTTGTCTATGTTACTAATGAGGGAATTCTCGATTTTTAGTCCTTGAGAATTTTACCTCAATTAAAAAAAGGTTATTTTGCCGATTTTACCTGGACATTAATGAGGGGGGCATGTATTTGCCGATTTTTTTCGTCTATTTTTGATAATAAAGGATGTAATACCTCGTATATTAATCTTATCAATATAATTTTATACAAAGCTTTTTAAGTGTTGGATTAACCAGTTATTTGCACCAACAGCATTCATGTATATTAAATTTAAAAATGAAAGATTTATAATAACGAAACAATTTAATATGACCCTTATAAAAATATAACTTTTAAATATTTCTTTTAATACAGATCTGTATTGTAGAAATTTTCATGTTGTTAATCTAGGGCTGGAGAAATGGTTTGGTCGGGCCCACATTTCCAGATTTACGACTGATTACGAATGAAGATTTATCTACAGCATCGTGGATATTTACAGCAATTTCATTCGGGTAAATTACTTTGAACACTTAAAAGACAATACAATTCCTTTTATTCTTCATGTATATTTATTGCAGTTTATATAGAAAATGTTAAACAATTCATCTAAAGTCTAATCATCATGTTATGTAAGGCAGTATGACATTTAATACAGTCAAACTTGTGTTTAAAGACCATCTCCGAATAAAGATCACCTTGTGAATAAAGACTTTTCTTTTTGACAAACCTTCATTGATAATGTAGAACAAATAGAGAGAAATAATGAATCCCCAAAGAACACACAAAACGATAGAAATTTGAAAAGTTGCAGGCTCGGTTTTGAACAAAATTACCTCCAAATAAAAACTTTTTTGTAAAGGCAATGTTTTGTGTATCCTCTGGATGGCCTTTGGTACAGGTTTGACTGTATATAAGACCCTTTATCCCCGCATATAGATGCAGATATCTTAACTACTGACCATGTAAATAAATTTGTTTAATGTAAATTATTAAGATTATTTAATAATATATGTTAACAACATGCATATTTAACGTAATCTTCTTAATTAAGTAGCTCTTCCGGTGCCTGAAATAATGTACGGCGTGGTATTCGTGGTTTTTATTCCACCAGTGAAACCTTGATAGTCGTTGTATGAGCTGAACAATGTTTATATCACTGAAAACGAAAGAACCATCAGTTTATTTACAGGGGACTTTTAGGATCTGTTTGTGGAGGATTTGCCTATGACCGTTTCAACAGGATCGCTGTCTTCATGTGTATTGTCATCGGACTGGGAATCGTCGCTGGTGTCGCCCCCTGGTGTACACATTTCGCCCTGATGTTCATAGTTCACATTTTGCATGGTGGCTTTGCTAGTGCCCTTGATACAGGTATGTAAAAACGTTTTTTACACAAGTATTTTAACTCGAAAATAACTTAAATTTTACTGGTTTTGTTATATAATTGGGAAATACATTTACAAAATCGCGAATCTCTTCATTTAAAATTAGCCATTTTAATATTTAAAATCCACTGTATGCAAAAAACGTTAATTAATTATTATGTCTGACTCTTGGTGTAATTTCCATATCCCGAATCACTTCATTTAAAATAAGCCATTCTTATATTTAAAATTCAATGTATGCAAAACATTTACTGGCGCTATATCAACCAACAAGAAACTTAAGATCAAAGAACTCTTCAAAGCAACTTGTTGTTGCCAAAAGTAGGACTGTAAGATATGGTGAACGCAGTTTCTCTTCGGTGGCACCTAAACTGTGGAATGCTCTCCCAGACAGTATCAGAGACTCAAAAACAGTATATGTTTTTAAAAAATCTTTAAAAACACATTTTTTCCAGAAAATTTATAGTAACTAACTGTGCTGTATTTGTTATCACTATGAATTGGCGTGCTGTCTTTTGTTATGAGATATCTGGGTACACATTTGAAATATAATAGTCTATTTTTGAATCACATTTCCATTACTAATTACTGTTTTCATCAAATTGGATTTAGATTTCAGTTGTCTTATCTTGATTTGTGTTTTTTTTATTAATTTTAATAGTTTTAACGTTTCTCTTTATTTTATTTTCAAGTCTTAGATTGTTCTTCATATACATTTTTTTTATTTGATCGACTGAGTTTTAGACTTTTAGATTAATCATGGTATATTTTATACTTTGTAAATGTATACATAAATGTGTGTTATTATTTTTATTACTTTTTTTTTTTTTTTTTTTTTTTTGTTTTTTTGTTTATAAAGTCATTGTAAATGTATATAATTCCATTGTAAAGCGCCTTTGAACATTTTTATTTTTTTGAGAAGGGCGCTATAGAAATGTGGTAATTATTTATTATTATTATTATTATTATTATTATTATTATTAAAATATTAATTATAATGTCTGACTCTATGTGTAATTTCCATATCGCGAATCTCTTCATTTAAAATTAGCCATTTCTAATATTTAAAAACCACTTTATCAAAAAGGTTAATTAATTATTATGTATTACTCTTGGTGTAATTTTCATATCAAGTACATATAACATAACTGTGCACTTTCGTTACGAAAAAGAAGTAAAACGCAGATATGATAACGTTTTTATCTTCAATGCAAAGTATTTTAATCATTTTAGTGTTTTAAAAGGGTAAAAATTAATGCAGGGGGAAGTGTAAAAATAGTTTGAAGAAAATCACTGAGGTTTTGACATGACGGGTACTGGAAATTTCGGGATTAATGTTTCGTTTTCTGTAGATCTAGACCAATAAATTGTCTGCAAAATTTCAGTACCGTTCGCGCTCGATCCGTTTTTCTAAAATAGTTGAATATTTATGCTTATGTGAAAAACGACCCGAAAGCATTGCAACGCTTTTTACTCACATCAGGGTGGGAATATCTCAAGACTACAAGTCTCAAGAATGCATTTTTCTATTTATTTCTAAGTATGTTTCTTAATTAATTTTCTTTGCGTATCTGTTTAAGTTCCCCAGCTGATCTGTATAAGTGATTAAAATTTTGCTTTTAGACCTAAGTGGAGTTTCTTTAGGCAACATACAGTATTGACGTATAAACGTTGAGCTGCCTTATTCAAACTAAACTGCTCTGAATTGTAAACTTTTCGGCATTCTACAGCATTTATCATGATATACTCGGCGGCATTCAGAAACTTTAAGTATTTCTTTAATCAGGTGCAAACTTGTAAATATGGTGGTCGCCAAATCGCATAGTTTCGTCGTGTGTTAATACTATTGAGTGATGATTGTGTGATTTTTTAAGCATATTTGTATCTTTGTCCGGAAAATATAAAGTGTGATTATTAGTTCTTGTATTATATGTGATTATTTACAACATTCAATAGTTTTAGGTTGTAAATGTAATTAGATGAGATAAAACCAGTATTCGATTGAAATAACCAAGCTTTATCTTACTATAGCTATCTCACTGTTTGCAGCTGTTACTGCCGATATGACTTTAGTGTGGAGGTATCAAGCTGGACCATACATGCAAGCTGTCCATGGTATATTCAGTGTAGGTGCAATCGTATCGCCATTTGTTGCCGAACCTTACCTCGCAAAGAAAATCGATCCTTTTCCATTTCAAAGTAGCACACAAATGTTAAATGGAACAGTCTCACGTGTAATGACTTCAACGCCAAGTTTTAAATCAAATCCGTCGGGATCGAAGGTTAATGCTTCGGTATTCACCTACGAGACAACGTCAATGCAGTTTGATTATTCAATATTGAACTCGACCGTGGATACTTTAAATCTCTTAATGTCGTCTGAAAACTTAACTGATCAATCTGTCCCCTCTGTTTATGGGGAAACTTTCATTTATATTCCATATTCATTAGCTACATTAATATGTTTAATAGCTGCTTCATTATATCTTATCGTTTATTTTATTTACGGAAATGTTTATAACTTGCCAGTAAATTCTTATGGTGATCTCAAAAAGATTCCTCAAAGAGAGCACTTTTTGTCAAAGAAGATGAAAACGATATTCACTGTACTTCTAGCGTTAACCTTGACCTTTTACGTGATGGGGGAACGAAGTTTTATTGGTTTTCTAATGACCTTTATAATAACAGAACTAGATTGGAGTAAGTCAAGGGGATCCAGTGCATCGTCTATATTTTGGATCGCTTTTGCAGTCGGACGTCTGTCTGGTATAATTATTGTGAAATACATCAATATATCCGCTGTAATTATGACATTTTTCCTCATGATTACAACCGGTGCTGCGTTATTTTGGATAGCTGTGATATATAAAATAAATTTATTAGTGTGGATGTCAATAGCAATAGTCGGATACGGTATGTCTGTTATATTTGCCTCAATATTTCTATGGATATCAGAAAATGTTAGAAAACTGACTGGCAAAATGGTTAGCGTTATTTTCATCTTTTTCTCGTCTGGTGCAATGGTGTTTCCAATACTAATAGGTCATCTAATGGATAAAGTTTCTCAAATGTGGTTTATTTATTCGCAACTTGTTTTATTTTGTGCCATGTGTACCTTGTTTATTTTTGTGTTAGGATTTTTTAACGTTTTAAAGAGACGTAACGCGAGACTATCTTTAGATGTGCAATAACAATGTAACTTGAAAAAATAAAAGGGAAGACCCGTTGCTTATGTTGAGGGAACTTGTGAGTCAACCCTTTGCCAAATATGTTATTGTGTTAATTCAATTTATTAAAACTGTCTTTGCATGTATATATATGAAAATAAAATATGTTTCAATAAAACAAAGATAAAAAATCATATGGTTTTTTTGTGTTTTATTGAGGAAAATAAAAGTGGTTTAAAAAACTTTCCTGATGGAGCTAAGATTTGTCTTTTTAGTCAGTTGACCATAAATGCTTATACATGTATTATATATAGTTCATTATATCAATTATTTCTTTCCTATGCATCGCCAATTTAGTAAATATAAATAAATAACAGAAGTGGTGAAACAGTAAAGTTGTTCTTAAAACGCATTACTTAGTCTCTCTTGCCTACCTATTTCGCTTTTCAAAAAATGTAATATTTTGGTATGTAAAGTCATGTGAAAGACAGTCACAGTAATGTGTTTGCGGTAGATTTTCATTGATCGAATTCGTATACATTAAGCGTGAGACATACATGTAAGTTTCATGTTTAAACACTTTGATCGTAAATTTAATTTTACTGTACATGAATGTGTGTCAGTCCGTAAAACAACAGATTAAGTAGCAAAACACGTGAGTAGACAAGTAGACAGTTCCACGTGAACAGATTGAGCATACTCACGTGCATAACTAGAATTATTAAGACCGAATTTAAATATAATTCTCATTTTTCATCTGTGGTGCAATATTTAAAATTGATGATGATCTTATTAAAAAGGTCAAGAAATAATTGAATTAAAGGAAAGTCAAATTCGAGGCATGATACGTTTTGTCTTCATGTTGAATATATTTCCATTAATTCAATCAAATAAAAATCATCTACATGTATATAGACATTTGCATTTGCTATAGGAAATAGTGTCCTGTCATTTTAGGAATAATGACGTTATGTCAACTTCCGTTTAACTTTAAATATGTTTCTATAGAATATAGCCGGTCCAGATAACACGTACTGTGTTAATTGATTGATTATTAATGAGCTATTTCGAAACACATGAACTTTAAATGAATGATTTGACAAACGCTTTTGAGGACACTTTATGTAGAAAATAGGCATTATTATTGAGCAAACACTCATTTCTATATAGTGTTCTAATTGACAGATGTAATCAGGTGGGTTTCTAGTTGATATTCGAATTAGCAGAACCAGGTTCAGTCACATTTAGGGAAGTCAAATATGATGTTGTAATGCCATCGCCAAAGTGAAAGAATGACACGAATTCCATCACGATTTCCGAGAGCAAGAATCGTAAAGTTAAATATATTTGTGTGGCAAAAATTTCGGAAAATAAATATGTAGGCTAAGTCAAAAAATCGAAAGTTTCTATTTCGGGTCAAATGAATTAACGTTGCATATACGTAACGAAAATTTATTTTCGCAAATATCTTTCATTCGCAAAATAGCGAAAGCTAGCGAAAGTTATTCCATGGCGAAATTTTCTGATTTCACAGTACATCGTGTGATTTTTCTAAGAAAAATGACGTCATGTCATCAAGAACAAATATCAAGAACGCTCTGCAATCTCTATTTAACCGCAGGTTAGAAGATGATGTATCTTACAAGAAGATGGGTATCAGAAGTTACCTGGAACCTGGCTGTCAAGTTCTGAATGGACAAATTGTTCTCCGTAATTGGAACAACTGATGCCAACATTACCCGGCATTTTCGTTGAAAAAATGCAAGTGTTTTCAAAGTATCTACAGAATAGGCCTATTTTAATTGACATTAACGAAAAGAAAACGGCAATGAGTACAGGCAACTGAATGGGAAATCATATTGCTTGAGGTCAGAGTTTTACTCAACACTGAAAGCCAAAACAAAGCAAGATTAAGCAAGGAAGTTGATTTAATAAAATAATGTATAAGTAAATTAAAGTCATCAAAGAAGAAAAGAAGAACTTGAATTAAATTATAAAGGAAATGTTTACGTTTAAAGGTTATCAAATAAATTGAGGTTAAGAACTAAAGATTTTAAGTAATAAATATCAATACATATCAATACCAAAGAGAAGCACTGAACGAAATCTCGATTTACGCCAGTGACAAGTACAACGAAACTACATATAGAGTATGACTTATGACTTTGAGCGAGTCATTTATTAGCAAACAAGTGTCCCTTCTATCAGAAAATTATTAGCAATAAAAACTTAATAATACAACAAAACACACCAATGAAAATAACATACAATTCGTATTTCGGCATTTGTAACTGAAATAACATGTGCCTGTATAAAAGCAGTTTGCTAGATCAAACTGGAGGAAAAGGCATATTTAAGAACACCTGTGAGCAACCTAACTTTACAAATGCAAATGCAAAACACAAAATGAATTATCTTCTTATCCATAGTATAAAACCCCGTTATAGTATTTGATGCATTTTTCATTGGAGTTACACTTGTATGTTGGAGGACAGCAACCGTTAGGACAGCAGACAGCCTGTAATGTAATGAAAAGATCCTCAACTCTTTCATACATTTGTTTCATACTACTTCCTTTGATATAAGGTAATACAATCATCATATATTTATTTTTATTACAAATCTTTTAACCGTTAAATATAAGACCAATAAATGATTAGATTTCAAAGAAAGTTATTAATTTGATATTGCTATCAATTCGGGAACCCTTGATATTTTAAAATTTGAAATTTATGTGAAAATAATTACAGTATAGTTATCTAGTCGTATTGGCAATGTTGTTTGTACAATAAGCAATATTCGACATTTCAGAAATTCATTTCATAGCAACAAATATTGCAATATGTGAAAATATTTCCGGAAAAGTTAAAGAATATATTTACATTCTGGATTGGACAGCAGAACCATGTACCCACTTCTTTCGATGGACAGCACGTGTTATTGTCCGGACACCACACGGTCAGTAAAGGACAGAAGTAAGCCGAGGAATGTTTCACAACAGATAAAAGTAAAGCGCCAACTAAAACCTAGAATTAGATATAAAAGTTTGACCATTTTAAATAAATGTATAAATATTTTTTTCTAACAGAGTAGATATCAATATTAAAATCTATATACATAATTTATTTACTTAATGTACTTTTTTCGTAAATTTTTTTACACTTATCTTACTTTTTTTTTTGGGGGGGGGTGAGTTGGGGGGTGGGGGTGGGGGGAGTCTTATGCCGATGCTATTTGTAAAACAGCTTAATTATTGAGTAGATGTTTTTTTAATAACATAAATAGCTTAAAACAGTATACTAAAGTATGATGTTTGTTCGCCGTTAAAATAAATTTTAAAACATTTATGTTTGAAAGGAAAGAAACAAAACAAAAAATACCGAACACATGTCTTATTTGTCTTATTGAGCGTAAGAAAACTGAAATCATTGAAATGGTGTTTTTTCTCATTGATTTTTAAAACCGCCATTACATAAACTCTGATAAACACCGTCAACTAGCACCGCAGCATAATTGTTTCTCAAGGGGATCCAATATCCAAATGCCAAACTTTAGAAGTTTACAGTGTTTTAAAAATCGGTCATGTAGGACAGACTGAATCATATTGGTGGCGAAAATTATATAATATAAGTCTTATAGCTACTAATAAAAAATTTGGCCAGAATCGCCGCCGGCCTGATCACAAAATTAAAAATTGATTTTTGTTTATATTTAAATACAACTGTGGTCAGACCTATAAATAAGTTAATATGAAATCACCAGATAAATTTTAATTGTTTTATTGTGAGGACTAAATCTAACTCACGTAAATGAACGAAATCACTTACCACTTTAAACAGATGAGACATTATCCTTTATCCGTACTGGTCAAACTGTAGCACACTATGGACAAATCTGATTTCAATGCAACAAAATAATGGCTGGATGGCATACAGAGCTTTATATCATACACTGCTAATATATTCTACATCTGCCAGGCTGTTTTATGCATAATACACCTATTCGCAACTATTAGACAGTTGCAAAGTAATTCGCCAATCAAATAATATTATGCCGTTTCAACGTTCAAGGCATTAAAGCGTGTTGATAGATAAAGATCTCTGCCAAGCCAAGCTGACAAGAGATTTACGAATTAACTGCTTTGATAAGGGAAAACACTTTGACCAATAATGTATGATAATAATACAAAGATATTCCAGCCCTGCTCGTTAACGTATTTCTGGGCTTAGCTGGTGGGGACTGCTGCAGTCCCGAAGCCCGGGTCTGAATCCGACACTGGCATTTATTGTTTTAGAAAAAAAAATCAAGATAATGGCTTAGATGACATTATTTTGTTTTGGCTAATTCGTTTAGAACGTTTGATATGATCCATTAAAAGGCGATAAACATTTCCTGAAAGAAATATAGTAACCACGACGTCACACACGCATATTGACAAACAAAACGGTGAAGTCTTCCAACGTAGTTTTACGTTGATCATGATTTGTGCGCCTTGGATTAAGTTGTCGCCTGCTTCCACCAATTATATGGAGAGTAGGATCATCGTGACGCGGCGCGGAGTATGAAAAAAGTAAAAACACACATAAAATATTCATTTCATACTCTAAAAAATTGTATGAAGGTGTGCCATTCCACATTTCGATATGGCATTTAATATTACAAAATTTGTAAAATTATCACAGAGAAAAATGTTATTTGTGAAGTGTCGAGCCAAACCCGGGATACATCCCGTGTAAGGTAAAATTGTTAAAACTGTGTGACCAGTAACTAGCGATGACTCTGTATAAATTCATCTATCTGAGGTGATCTATACAAATTAACTCTAATTATAAACAACGTTAGCATCACTGGAGAAATATATTTACAACATATAATGTTTCGAATATAATTCAGGAAGTGCGCAAACAATAGATATACACCGGGAAGGAATTCAAAAGCAGAAACGTGAATTGGCGCAAACTATCTTAATTAATGGTCATGCAGTGTTGTTTTAAAATGTTAGAATTTGTAAAAAAAGCATTAATTTCATTTAAAATGTACCATTATTGCATTTTATGTATTTCAAAATGTAACAATTTGGTGCTATTTTACAGTGCTTTGTACTGCCGCATAACAGCGCTGCCATATAAACGTGATCTCATACCGCAAAGGATAAAAAAGGAAAGAAAAACAATTTAAACACATTCGACAATGATTTACTATTTTGATAAATTTGCAAAGAAATCAGACCCAGGTTTTCGTGTTCACTTTACCAAATTTTGAAGTAGAATTTTAGAGTAGTGAATTTTGACAAAAATTGACAATATACCAACTGATCTGTCTGCATTTTTTTCACAAGATCAAATGGTAGGATACTGCTTGTCATCGCGCAACTGGAAAATGCTCCCAGTCGGAAGATAAAAAAATTTCTATTATTCAAAGAAATCATTAGATTATGAAAAAATAATGTCGCTAAAGTAATTGATATATTTAAAAAAAAAACGTTTTAAGTTTTACTGTCTTGTTTAAGCCTGAAAACGGGATAAATTTTGTTTGGGTGTTCGATTGGGAGCAAACTTTATCCTGTTTTCAGGACTAAACTAGGCAATAGAACATTTAACGTTTTTTTTTTAATTATTCGAAGTACTAAAGACAATCTTTGGTGCGTTATATTATTTTTTGTTATTCTAACAATTTCTTAGAAGAAAAAACATATATTACATTCAAGTCGACGTGATATTTACAATAAAAAGTCCAAATTGAAAGCATTTTGCAGGTACGCGATGACGTAGTATCTTACTATTGAGATCTTTCTGTAAAAAAAATGTTTGAAATGACATTTAACCGCCAAAAAGCAGAGCGAAGTACAATGTATCTGCCCTATGTTTCTGCTATCAAACCGTTTTTGTTTGGGGTCCTCCTGGGCTCCTTGCCACTAGTTCTTGTTGCTGGGTCATGTGGGCGTTGCGTTCATTGAACGCGGCCTGTCCTTGTTGATCTTCTTTATCATATATTATTTGACATGGCAATTGTCCTAGCTACACCGCAGTTTCTCCCGCATTACTGGGAAAGCCAAAACGTTAAAACTTTGCTCGCCTTTGACATGAATTACAACGCTTCAAGTTTAAATCTAACGTGGTAACATCGTTGCCAATGTTTTATTTGGCAATTGATATTGTTCAAGCTTTCAGACTGCAGTATTTTTTTTCCTAAATAAGTGTAAACCGTTTGCCATAAATGATTATTTTTACCCATACAATGATACTGATAACAGTCAACACTGAACATAGCTTAGATGCTAATAGACTTACGTCTGACCTCCATATCGGAGATACTGCCATTTTACAAAACTGAATTAAAGTAGAATTCAACATTGAACTTAATGGAAAATGTATGCGTAAACACACATTATGTCTGACTAAGAGGACAGTACGTAGTTCAAAAGAATGAAAACAAGCCCAGAGTACACAAAGGGCTCGGTATGAAGAAAAAACTGAAAATATTGGCGGGGTAAGATCACTATGACTTGAAAGGTTTGTCGACAGGTGTGAAATTATTTCCAATGGTTACATTTTGGTTTGATGTACAATGTGGTTCACGTCAAGGCTGTGTGTTATCACCTTTACTTTTTTTAATTTGTATATCAATGATCTTGCATTGTATTTATAGTCCCACAATATTTGTGTAACAATTAATGATGAATTGTTTTGCGTACTTCTGTATGCTAATAATATTGTACTACTTTCCGAAAACGGACATTGACTTACTAAATGGTCTACACGATTGATGTGGTACGTACAAATGACAAGTAAACGAATACAAGCAAGAATAGCAGTGTTCATTTTCGCCGAAAATCTTGTACAAGATCAGACTTTGTCTTTAAAAGTTGACATGATACTTTAAGTTATGTTAATAAATACAAATATTTGAAAATCGTTTTGCATGAGCATGTCGATTTTTATGTTACAGCTAGGATAATGAGACAAAGCGCAAGTCGCGCGTTGGGCTTACAAATAGCCAAGTGTAAGTTAGTTTGCGGGGCTCCTCATAGCGTTTTTGTATGAATCAGTTGTATAGCCTGTCGTCACATAAGTTTTTCGTTTTTCTTTTGAGATTATTTGGATAGTGTTGTGAGGACAAAGTTCTGATTTCAAAAACTTAAATTGCCGCCTTTTATATAGTAAAGCGAGGTCGCACGTGTGCTGTTTTATTTTGGTTCGTGGTAACGGGTCTGATGCTTTAATGTCTTACATACTGCTTTGATGCTCAAATTTGATGTTTATCGTTGATCATTTGCTTATTTAGAGGTTTATATATCGTATAATTGGTATATAATAATTAATTTTCGAGGCATATCGATAAAACATTACGAGCATCACTGTCTATATATAAATAAGAAACATTGTGTATGATTCATGACATATTACGACATTGATTGAAGCGTACCCGTCTAGTCGGTTACGGACGTAATGGAAGTTTACCCTTTTATTCACCTTCGTAGCATTTCATTCGGCTCATCTAAAGGTATGAAATGCACAGCATACCGTTTCTTTGCAGCCATTTTACGCGTGCGTAAATTCTCGCTTGTAATTCAAGATTTGAATGGTCTTGTACCATTTGAGGTATTATGTATGCTTATTAATTGTAAATTTTGAATGTACATAAATGAGACTTTAATTGGTTAATTAAAATGAGCGTACTAGATTTCATAATTATTTACAACCTTATTGAATGATAAAAAACGCTAAAACTTGCCGTGATTTAGCACACGAAACACATTGGCAGTAACAAGTAGTCATAAGAACTCCAGAACATATTTTGAGGTATCACAAGAACTCCGGAACATTTGAAAAATCGGGTATAGATTTATTAGCCGGGGCTTTATGTTTGCAATTTTGTATTATCATTAGGTAGTTATGTATGGCAATGATGTTGACTTGAAATAAACAGATCAATACTTACAAATTGGCAAATAATTTGAAATTTTTACTCAAAACTACCAGATTTTTAGCAAGAGGCGATGAAAAATGGACTATGAATTAGTTTTTGACACATAATTCAATATGTAAGGCAAGCTTAATCATTAAAGTTTAATTTAGCACCTAAAACTCATTTTTTAAAGATGAAAATTACCAGTGTTTTTGCAGTATATACAATAGTTTTCGACAGATATCACAAGAACTCCTTGACAAGTTATCATAAGAACTCCATCCCTCGTGTAACACTTCCTCCCCCGTGACAAAACCGCTTTTAGTACAAGCACGCATTAATAATGTATCAAAACAGAATTCAAAGTATTTCAAACATTTTATTGATAAGTTTGGAGAAGAGCTTGATAAATCATTTTATTGTGTTGTTAAAACTGGAACATATTCAAGAACTTCTGCTACTTTATGCATTTTCCATTTGCGCCACACTTGTACGTTGGAGGACAGCAACCTTCTGTACAGCAGACAGCCTGTAATGTTTCAAAGGTCCGTAACTCTTTATACATTTTATTGTCTTGTCTTTTGATTTTACTTGTTCTTGAATAATGTAACACAACATAGAGTTTATTCAGCGTGTAACATACCGGTAGCATATCATGTTTTTAGCTAACAGGAAAATGCGAATCATGGTAAACGCATAGAGAGCAGAAAAGTATGGTCTATTCTTAAAGTATAAAGATAACATAATAATGGAACATAGGAAATATACCGTTATATAATTCTATAATTCATTTCTTTTTTGAGAAATATGTGTATTTTGCAAGGTCTTAACGGTATCTGACTTCAGGGTTTGCAATTAATTATCTGGTGGCTAGTCTTGAAAGTATGGATTTAGGTAACTAATTCGTATAACTTAATAAAACGAACCAGCAAGAAGAAAATAAAATTCTTGTTCCAGTTGTCGCATATAACACGATTTGCAGATTCTTTGTTCGCGGGGAATCTTATGATACCTCCAAGTTTCAAAAAAATAAGTCGTTTAAATCTAAACATCTAAATCTTTGCATCGCTATTCTATATGTGTTACTCAGTTTTTTTTCGGTCTCAAATTTATGCGGGGTATATTAATCATACGGAGTTACTGACATCGGAGCACCATGATGATTGTAGATATGTATCGATTAACCGTTGTCAATTTAAGAAATATCGATTTAAAGTTGTTCATCTCATACATACATTAATCCAATATCGGTCAGGATTGTTTCAATGTGGGAGGCCCAATGTTTATTGCGATAAGTATAACCCTGGTATGTATCAGATTTTAAACAATAAATACGTTTTCCTTGTTAAAGATGAATCGTTTTGTTTCAAAGTTTTAATCCAATACTTGATCAATGTTATTTTCCGGTATACACTAAGTGGAAATCGCCCTGTGCGGTTGTTTACACTCAGTACCCGTCGCAGAAATTTAATTTATGCATTCGTTTGTGCCACAGCTGGACAACCATTACCGTTACTTTACTTTTTTATATTACTACTTCTAATATTCTCAAACAATGTGACAATGTTACACATTTATTTGCATAACATATATATTTTTTCTTTATCAGTTACGTGTATGTTACATCTAAAATGGGACCGTTAATGACTTTAAGAATGATTCAATAATGATCATTGTGTTATTAAAATTAATAATAAGTATTAACAATTCGAACTACATGTAGTATAGAATGTGTTGTCGTTATTATAAGTATTTCATCAAAAACATGTAATTTGCAGTGTCAAGGAAATATGAAATATTGCAATTAAGTTTCTATAAAGCTGTTAGAAGAAAATTTAATTTTAAAACGGTTTTTACCGTCATATTCAGAAAGAAATTCTTTTCAAAAATAAGTGAAAAAGCAAATATCGAAAAAAAAATGTCATCAAGACCGGTTTTCTCGCGTCTAGGGGGCATGTAGATCTCTATTTCAAAATATGAACACATTAATTTTCTGGTAAAAAAGAAGAAGAATAGTTACATTCTTTATTGGACAGCAACCCCACAATGTACCCATAGTGTTCATCACACAACATGTTTGATCATCAGGGCACCATATCACCCTATCCGGGCAGTAGCCAGCCCAGGAATGTTGCACTGCAGATAATAGTGTAGCAGCGGCTAAAACCTGAAGATAAATGAAATATTGGACCATTTTAAATATTCTTAATTTTCTAAATAATAAAACATATCTACATTAAAATTGTTTACTTCTTATTTTATCCCTCTATTTAAACTGTTTTGTTTGTATGTGTTTGTGGGGGTGGTATGTGTGTGGAGAGGAGTGGGGGTATTTTGACGGTTGTGTTATATCTAGTAAAATAGTAGAATGTAAAATCAAAACATAATCAAAGCACAGAAGGCGCTGACTTTGTTTGGGTATCAGAATTTCAGAAAGTTAAAGGTTGTAGGATTATAAACCATTTTTTGTATAGTGTCACCAATGCTGTTTCCAGTGTTATATCTGTAGTAAATTGGCTATAAGACTAATTGCAACACTGATATTCAACTCGTTACCCTTATTAATTTCGATTTATTTTGTTCACAGTAAACATGTTGTTTAACACTGAAGTAAATAATCATGGAGCTGAATATTAGCATGCATATCTATAAGAATTACATGATTTTAGAAATCTTCGACCAATCGGGAATTTATATTTCGTTATGAAGATTAATGCGCCTGTCATTTGACAATCTTTACGCAGTGATCTCCCTTTATTTATCGGTGTTAATATACATATGAAGGGAAGTAACCGCTTCGAGGAATTTGGACTACTTTCGGCATATGCAAATAAGATCATCAATATCTGAAATTTCGCTAACATTATTTGTTTGGGTCATCAAACAATTAAAAAAAAATGTGGCAAAACGTTTTTTGTTTTTGTTTTTTTCTTTTACCTTTGCGCTGTGATTGGCATGTTTCTTGAAACAGTTTGTTTTAAATCGTCATAGAAATGATTTTGGAATTTACTTTTTATATCTACACAAAATGTTTATATTTAATTTATTTATGTCTGTTTACACAATATAAGAAGGATTTATTATTGTTTACTAAGTTATAAGGTGATTGTGTATTGCCGAAATACTATATGTCTGAAGACAGTCGAATCTCTGTTGTACGATAAACATCGGCAAAATAAAAAAAGTCCATATGAAATTACATTATCCGTCTGAAACGAATACATTTGAGCTGCACCATGACAAAAACGTTTGCGACCAGCATGGATCCAGACCAGCCTGCGCTTCCGCGCAGTCTGATCAGGATCCATACTGATCGCTATCAGTTTCTCTACTTGGAACGAACAGCATGGATCCTGATCAGACTGCGTGGATACGCAGACTGGTCTGGATCCATGCTGGTCGCAAATGCATTATTGTGGTTTTTGTCATGGTGCAGCTCATTTTTTATTTCTTTACAAAAAAGCAAATATGAATTTTACAATTTTTAAATGATAGTTTTTGGGCATGTTAGATGTTTGATACCTGAATAAAATAGCGCTTAATGTGAAATAATGTGTCATTAAAGTAGAAAAATGTAACCAAAGACTACTTTTGAGTTCCATTCAAAATACTTTACTTAAATGCAAAAAAAAATGAAGAAAAATATGGTTCAGGTAATTGACTAATGGAAATTATAAAAGTACGCCAAAATTGAAAATATTGTGAAAATTATAATTAAAAAAAAGCATTCTTGGGCATAATGGGCATAGAAATAACGTTACAATTGTTTCATATATCAGAAAACGATTTCAAATGAAAAGATGTAGTTTCCAAATATTTGATGAAAAAGGGAAAATGCTACAGACATTCCGATGTTTTGAAAGCCATACAAAATATTTAGCGATTTTCTTCGAAAATCTGTTTCCTAAGAACCTTTATCGGTACTAATATATTTATATAAGTTTAAAGTTGGTTAAATTCCAAAATTTATAAGGTTATGGCCGTATTATACTTCCATCAAATATTTTTCTTAAACATACATTTATTGTTCTATACAGAAGTATGTACAGTTTTTAATAAAGTCATAAAATTAATGAATCAAAACTTAGCAACATTTATACTCAATAAATAATGTTTTACATTTCATATATACGCATATTTTGTTGTTTTTTTTTTTACAGTAGAATTATGCCATTGTGATATATGTATATCATTCATAACTTGCTATGTAACTTACGGTTTCGCATGCCTATAAAGGAAATAACTTACAATGTTCAACATATAAGACATTATCCTTTATTCGAAATATTGCGCTACACTGAAGACAAATATTATTTCAACTCAGTAACAATGGCTGGATGACATGTATATCATTTATTTATAAGAGGGGTGTTCAAATATGAATGCAATATGAGAAGCACTTAACAAACAGTGCCAAAGTAATTATCCCAATTCTTCAAAATACTCACGACTGTAAAATAGACGAACCTAGCTTTTTTGCGCTTGATATTTTTCTTCCAACTAGGTGTTTTTGTTTTGTTTTTTTGGGGTTTTTTGAGCCTCGGAAATAGGAAAAAGTCACAAGGGACAAGATTTGGCGAGTAAGGAGTGTTAAAAAGCTCGACAACATTTTCCTGTTTCAGATATTCTCGTGCAATGGCCACTGTATATGACGAAGCATTGTCATGCAACAACCTGACACCACGGATACCAGTTTAAAATATTTCTTTAATTTATGAAGAATCTGGCCTTTTTAAAAATTCACATTTACAGATTTACCTTTTGGTACGGCAATCTAAATAGCAGGGCCTTGATTGGTTAAGACAATTATAACTTGACCTTTTTGACGCTCATGGTGAGTTTTGCTATGCAAGGTCTTCAAATGACTTCCTTTGCATCTCCATATTTTGTTATGTATCTTTCGCTTAGACTCAACATATTTAGCTATATATCTAGTTGTAAATCTTGTATCAGTAGCAACCAAATCCTTTAAATTGCAACCATTTTAGGCGAAGTTGCAGTTGTTTTTTTGACGGCGTGCACGAGATGCATCTTTTACTGAAACCACACCACTTTTAAATTTCTAACACCACCGTATGACAGATGGAAAAGAACGTTCATTGTTCCCATAAACACAACATATGTCATCAAAAATGTCTTACGCATACAGCGAGCTATTGTCAAAGCTAGAACAGCTTACACAACCATCTATGCGATACATGTACATAGTTCGTGGAAATCATGGTTGAAAGCGAGATATTGGTCTAGTTGCAGTCATATTTGAACAACCCTCGTAACTGACTTTTATGTTCTACATCTGTTAGGTTATTAAAATGCAATTATTGTTTTTGAAAACGTTGACGGTACTTCAAACGTTTCATGATAATGATTATGTTGACATTATTTTGGTTTAGAAAATGTAGTAAGACCATTTAATCCCCAAGAGTCTTTAAGGTTTGATGAATCAGAATTGCAGCGGCGTAACAGGCGACTTAATGGGTTCGAATTACTAGAGTCTATGTATCTCTTAGCTCCATCAGATGTTCCTGGTGTTGCTTTAAGTTTTAACTCCTAGGGTTTGCCAAAATCATCTTTCCTGCTTATGCGCCATAGAACCTTAATTTTGTTGTTATGCTGTAAAACCAAACAAAATAAACACTTAACCTTTAAATGAGCACTATTATGACCATTGTTCATTAAACAAGGTAACCACGAACTCAAAAGGCATACATTTTGCTCCAATATCAAATTACTTAATCCAAGGCCGCAATATTTTATCTATTAAATAATGCTTCACCACTTGATACGAAGTCACATTACTTGATACAAAGTCACTCTACTTTATACAAGACCATCTGTCTTGATTTTAAGCAAAGTCATAGTAATTGATATACGAGCATATTACCTTGATACAATGCCACCGTACTTGATACAAAAAGGCCATTGTTCTTAAAGCAAGGTCATACCACTTAATACAAGGCCAAACTACGTGATACAAGGTCACTCTACTTGACACGAGGCCAAATTACTTAACACAAGACCAAACTACTTGATCGAAGGCCACACTACTAAGTACAAGGTCACAGTACTTGATACAAGACCAAACTACTTGATACAAGGTCACTCTACTTGACACAAGGCCAAACTACTTGATCCAAGACCAAACTACTTGATCCAAGGCCACACTACTAAATACAAGGCCACTCTACTTGATGCAAGACCATACTACTTGATACAATGTCACACTTCTTGATGCAAGACAATTTACTACTTGATTAAAGGTCATACTACTTGATATAAGGCCTCAGTAATTGAAACAAGTCATACTACTTGATACAAGGTCAATTTACTTGAAACAAGACCTCACTAATTGATACAAGATCATACTCTTAATCGGGCATATCTTAAAAAGGGGTTTTTACTTGAACAAGGTAATTTACTTGAACAATACCCCCAAATTGATACAAGATCATACTATTTGATACAAGTTATACTACTTGATACAAGGTCAATTTACTTGATACAAGACCTCATTAATTGATACAAGGTCATACTTCTTGATACAAGGCCACACTACTTGATACAAGACCTCATTAATTGATACAAGATCATACTTCTTAATACAAGGTCGTACTACTTAATACAGAACCTCATTAATTGATACAAGGCCACACTTATTGATACAAGGTCTTACTACTTGATACAAGGTAACACTAATTGATACAAGATCATACTTCTTAATACAAGGTCATACTACTAAATACAGGACCTCATTAATTGATACAAGGCCACACTTATTGATACAAGGTCATACTACTTAACACAAGACATCATTAAATGATACAATGTCACACTAATTGATACAAGGTCATACTACTTGATACAAGACCTCATTAATTGATACAAGGCTACACGACTTAATACAAGGTCATACTACTTGATACAAGGCTTCACTAACTGATACAAGTCATACTACTTGATACACGGTCAATTTACTTGATACAAGACTTCATTAATTTATACAAGATCATACTACTTGATACAAGGCCTCACGAATTGATACAAGTCATACTACTTGATACAAGGTCAATTTACTTGATACAAATCCTCATTAATTGATACAAGGCCATACTACTTAATACAAGGCCACGTACTCTAATTGATACAAGGTCAATTTACTTAATACAATACTTCATCAATTGATACAAGGCCACACTACTTGATGCAAGGTCAATCTACTTAATACAATACCTCATTAATTGATGCAAGATCATACTACTTGATACAAGGTCATACTACTTGATACAGGACCTCATTAATTGATACAAGGCCTAATTAATTGATACAAGGTCATACTACTTGATACAAGGTCAATTTACTTGATACAAGACCTCATTAATTGATACAAGACCTCACTAATTGATACAAGGCCATACTACTTGATAGAAGGTCAATTTACATAATACAAGTCCTCACTAATTGATACAAGTCATACTACTTGATACAAAGTCAATTTACTTGACACAAGACCTCGCTAATTGATACAAGGCCACACTAATTGATACAAGGTCATACTACTTGATACAAGGCCTCACTAATTGATACAAGTCATACTACTTGATACAAGGTCAATTTACTTGATACAAGATCTCATTAATTGATACAAGGCCACACTAATTGATACAAGGCCATACTAACTTGATAGAAGGTTTCAATTTACATAATACAAGTCCTCACTAATTTGATACAAGTCATACTACTTGATACAAGGGTAAATTTACTTGATACAGACCTCATTAATTGATACAAGGCCACACTAATTGATACAATGTCATACTACTTGATACAAGGCCTCACTAATTGATACAAGTCATACTACTTGATACATGGTCAATTTACTTTATACAAGACTTCATTAATTGATACAAGGCCTTACTACTTGATTAAAGGTCATACTACTTGATACAAGGCCTCAGTAATTGAAACAAGTCTTACTACTTGATACAAGGTCAATTTACTTGAAACAAGACCTCACTAATTGATACAAGATCATACTACTTGATACAGGGGCATACTACTTGATACAAGGTCAATTTACTTGATACAAGGTCAATTTACTTGATACAATACCTCACTAATTGATACAAGATCATACTACTTGATACAAGTTATACTACTTGATACAAGGTCAATTTACTTGATACAAGACCTCATTAATTATACAAGGGCATACTTTCTTTGATACGAAGGGGCCCACACTACTTGAATACAAACCTCATTAATTGGGATAAAATCATTACTTCTTAAACAAGGTCGTACTACTTAATACAGAACCTCATTAATTGATACAAGGCCAACTTTTGATACAAGGTCTTTAATACTTGATTACAAGGGTCACAACTTATTGATACAAAGATCATATCTTCTTATACAAGGTTCATGACTTACTAAAATACAGGGACCTAATTAATTGATAAACAGGCCAACTTATTGATTTACAAGGGTCAACTACTTGAACAAGGGTCACACTATTTTGATACAATTCAACACTACGTGGATACAAGGTCACCACTACTTGATGCAAGGTCATTCTACTGAAACCAAGGCGTCCACTAATTTATAAAGATAATTACTATTAATACAAGGTCATACTACTTAATTTTCAGGACTTCATTAAATTGATACAAGGGCCCACTAATTGGATACAAGATTCATACTAACTTAATTAATAGGTTCAAACTACTTAATTTCAGGACTTTCACTAGTGATACAAAGGCCACACTTAATTGAACCAAGGTCATACTAAACTTAATAAAGACATCATTAATTGATACAAGGGGCCACACTAATTGATACAAGGTCATACTACTTAATAGCAGGAATCATTAAAATTGATACAAGGGCCACGTACTCTAATTGATACAAGGTCATACTACTTAATACAAGACATCATTAATTGATACAAGGCCACACTAATTGATACAAGGTCATACTACTTAATACAGGACATCATTAATTGATACAAGGCCACGTACTCTAATTGATACAAGGTCATACTACTTAATACAAGACATCATTAATTGATACAAGGCCACACTAATTGATACAAGGTCATACTACTTAATACAAGACATCATTAATTGATACAAATTTTGTCACACTTGATATTGATACCAAGGTCATACTACTTAACACAAGGCCATTAAATGATACAATGTCACACTAATTGATACAAGATCATACTACTTGATACAAGGACCTCATTAATTGAGTACAAGGGCCACACTAACTTGATACAAGGTCATACTACTTGATACAAGCCTCACTAACGATTGATACAAGTCATACTACTTGATACACGTCAATTTTACTTGATACAAGGACTTCATTATTTTATACAAGATCATACTACTTGATACAAGGCCTCACTAATTGATACAAGTCATACTACTTGATACAAGGTCAATTTACTTGATACAAGGACCTCATTAATTTTTATACAAAGACATACTACTTGATACAAGGCCTCAACCTTATTTGATTACAAGTCATACTCATACTACTTGATACAAGGGCCATACTACTTAATACAGCCACGTACATTAATTGATACAAGGCCATACTACTTGATACAAGGCCACACTACTTGATACAAGGCCATACTACTTGATACAAGGCCACACTACTTGATACAAGGACATACTACTTGATACAAGGCCCCCCCCCCAGCCCTTTTTTTCATACTACTTACTATACCCAAGGGACACAAGGATACAAGGGACCTCACTACTTGATACAAGGCCATACTACTTGATACAAGGTCAATTTACTAATACAAGTCCTCACTAATTGATACAAGGACATACTACTGATACAAAGGCCATACTACTTGATACAAGACCTCGCTACTTGATACAAGGCCACACTACTTGATACAAGGACATACTACTTGATACAAGGCCATACTACTTGATACAAGGACATACTACTTGATACAAGGACATACTACTTGATACAAGGCCATACTACTTGATACAAGGCCATACTACTTTTTCAAAAGGTCATACTACTTGATACAGGACCTCAGTAATTGAAACAAGTCATACTACTTGATACAAGGTCATACTACTTGAAACAAGGCCATACTACTTGATACAAGGCCTCACTTATTGATACAAGATCATACTCCTTGATACAAGGTCAATTTACTTGATACAAGGCCTCACTTATTGATACAAGATCATACTCCTTGATACAAGGCCTCACTTATTGATACAAGATCATACTCCTTGATACAAGGCCTCACTTATTGATACAAGATCATACTCCTTGATACAAGGCCTCACTTATTGATACAAGATCATACTCCTTGATACAAGGCCTCACTAATTGATACAAGATCATACTCCTTGATACAAGGCCTCACTTATTGATACAAGATCATACTCCTTGATACAAGGCGTCACTAATTGATACAAAATCATACTCCTTGATACAAGGCCTCACTAATTGATACAAAATCATACTCCTTGATACAAGGCCTCACTTATTGATACAAGATCATACTCCTTGATACAAGGCGTCACTAATTGATACAAAATCATACTACTTGATACAAGATCATACTACTTGATACAAGGCCATACTACTTTATACAAGGCCTCACTACTTGATTCAATGCCACATTACTTAATACAATGCTTCACGTCTTGATATTAAGCAACACTACTTGATACAAGGTCACGGAAAGTGTAAACTATCGGGCATACATCAGCAACATGAATTGAACATTAAAAATGACATGGGAAAAGTTTTGAATTTAGAAACATCTGCAGATGTCCTCACACGTTTGTCCTTATGGAACATTTGATGTGACACGTAGGTCCCAATTATTTGGACAGGGTTCTATTTCGATTGAGGACCCAACACATATACTTGATGCTGCAAATTTCAGAAATAACTTGATATTAAATTGTTTAAAACATTAATAAATAAGACGGGCAATTCCTTTGTAGCAAAAATTCGTAAATCATCATCTAGGACCTCATGTTGTTCATAGATTATACATTAAGATAGCAAATGTTGAGTCATATACACACTGTATTTAATTTGTTTGTAAACAAGTTTATTATTTACGCAGATGACGTTGCAAATTTTGCAATCGATTACAATTCATTTTGCAGCTATGCGGGCGAGACTATTGATAAATAAATTGTTCTAACAATGATAACATGATATTCATTGCTTTTTTTTTGGTATAAATCATTATAAGATATAACATGTTTAATAACGTGACACAACCTTAATTGCATGATATTATATATTATTAATTAACTTTTTAATTTCACTTCAAATGTAAGGCTAATATGAAGTTCATCACGACATTATGAAGTACAGCCTTCATGGAAACCCGGGCTGTTATGATATTGGAGAATTTTGATTGGTTCTCGTGCTCGGTCATTATGGATATGCTTTATCTTTCATTGATAAAAGTCGCCTTTTTTAATTGCATTAAGGTAGATTTCCAAACAAGAATCTCATTTGTAATACCCCACAACAAGAGATTTAAATTATTTTTTTTTACTAAGCATTTAACTTTTTTTTAGATTATGTGTAGCTTAATAATAGAATTGTCAATAATTAAGTGCTTTCATAATAGCCTTAAGCTTGTTATTCGACTTTAAATTGTCATATTTAATTTAGATTTCGGGCATTATGAAAACGCTTAATATATATTCTTTACATGTATTTTGTACTGGATGCCTTAAACTTGTTCTTGTTGTTGTCGCTGCTGTTGTCATCATCATTGTCATCGTCGTCGTCGTCCTTCTTGTTGTTGTTGTCGTCGTCGATGTTGTTGTTGTTGCTATAACCAAAAGCGATTTAAAAGTTACTAAGTAACGTATGGTAACGCATGACAATTAAAGAAATCACCACTTACCATTGTAAGCAAATGAAACATTTTCCTTTATCCGAAATATCGTTCTGTTAAAATCGTGTACATCTAAGACAAATCTGCGTAATATAAAACAATATATGTTCTTTGTGACAGATCTTTCCGTGTATTTTGCTTTGTATAATCTATTGGGCGATTAACATTAAAGGTTATGGTGTCACGAAAAATAAGCGCCACCTATATCGTAATAAAGTTTATTTAATTACAGTTTAATTCTCTTTCGTTTCTGCACCTAGCTTGTAGGTTTACATCATAAACTATTTTTTTCCGCAGGGATGGGGGGGAGTATTTCCGGGTTATGTTGGGCTTTATGTACACAAACACAGTGGCCATAGCTCCAAAAAGAGTGGCGCATTGGTAAGTTTAATATCGCGTTTACTTTATGTTTTAACTTTATAGTACACTAGTGAACATGGGCAATGAATGCTCTTATAAACTTATTACAGTCAGAAATAACACTTTGCGAGGGCACCGCTTTCGCAACCGGCAGAATTTCCTGTTAACATCGGCTTCATATTATGAATAATTGGCTAATACCATTGATTGTAAAGTGACACACGCCAGCGAACTGGCAAGTAAAGGGATTTGTTTGACTGACAAAAGCCAGGGTGGTTGTTGTGACTTTGGATATGTTCAATAATAAAAAAACCAAGAACAATTTGACCTAATTATTTACAACTATTTGCGAAGTGATGACAAATGAATTATAAAACATATAAATAAAATATATTGTAATGAACTTATGCATGGTCTAAGTTTTAAGACTGAAATGTTTTCAACAATGAGATTATTATTCTTTATAAATAAGATCCGGTTGTACGTATTAATTACCTTGTTCCACTAAATAAACAAAGTTTTGTTGTTGATATTTTCTTGCGACAGGGATGCTGTTGTGTAACGGACACAATGATTATGTTTAGAACGCATATAATTGTACAACAACGCACTGATTGGGACAATGACTTAACTGATTTAGACAACGATGTACCTGTTGTGATTAGTATGTACTTCTTTTGACATAGTTGCACCGGCTGAGACAAGGATGTGTCACTTAGAAAAATGTAGCACTGTTTGGTACAATGACGCACTGATTCGGATGATGGCGTACCTCTTGATACAATGATGTATTTTTGTTTACAAGGATGCACGTTTGTTACAAAGGTGCTCTACTTGAGCCAAGTAAGTTCCACATGTAACAAGTACAAAATACTTGTGACAAAAAAGTAACAACAGTGGTAAGGGTGTAACAATTGTGACAAGAAAGAACCACTTATTACAAAGACGAATTGCTTGTGCCAAGGACATACTACTTGTGACAAAGACGTACAAACTACTTGTAACAACTGTACCAAAGGCAAACTAAATGTGACAGAACCACTTATTACAAAGACGAACAAACTGTGCCAAGGACATATTGCTTGTCACAAAGACGTACACACTGTGCAAAGGACAAACTACTTGTGGAAAAGACGTATCAACTCTGCCAAGGACATGTTGCTTGTGACAAAGACGTACCAACTCTGCCAAGGACATGTTGCTTGTGGAAAAGACGTACCAACTATGTCAAGGACATGTTGCTTGTGACAAAGACGTACCAACTATGTCAAGGACAGACTACTTGTGGAAAAGACGTATCAACTCTGCCAAGGACATGTTGCTTGTCCCAAAGACGTACCAACTCTGTCAAGGACATGTTGCTTGTCACAAAGACGTATCAACTCTGCCAAGGACATGTTGCTTGTGACAAAGACGTACCAACTATGTCAAGGACAGACTACTTGTGGAAAAGACGTATCAACTCTGCCAAGGACATGTTGCTTGTGACAAAGACGTACCAACTCTGTCAAGGACATGTTGCTTGTCACAAAGACGTACCAACTCTGCCAAGGACATGTTGCTTGTGACAAAGACGTATCAACTCTGCCAAGGACATATTGCTTGTGACAAAGACGTACCAACTATGTCAAGGACAGACTACTTGTGACAAAAACGTACCAATTTTGCCAAGGACAAACTACTTGTAAAAAGGACGTACAAACTACTTGTAACAAAGACGTACCAACTGTGCCAATGACATACTACTTGTGAAAAAGACACATTTACTTGGAGAAGGGTGTACTTCTTAGTACAAGCACGAATGTATCAATTTGAGATATCATAATTCGAGCAGAGCAAGTTTTGTCAGGTTTGGACTGTTTTTGAAGTGGAACCCGAGATTTGTAAGGTCAATCTATTTAGGTTGTGCGTGCTATGTTCAATATCGCACCTGCATAGGATAAACTATCAATGCAGGCCCGTGAGACGGTGACCTTGCTTTCGAGCTTCTTATGTTAGAGGATGACACAAGTTAAATGCAAGACCAGTTGGTCCATTGAAAGAGGCACCCTATAAAGTTCTGTGTTTATTGACAAGCACTTAGATCGGAAATACATACATATACAAAAGATGAATTAGCTATATACTTAGAATTAAACTGAAAAGCAAGAAACTTTATACTAAATTGAAAATCATATTTTGTGCGTTTATTAACCAAATATGAGTCAAAAGCGTTTTAAAATTTTCGTTTTTTATCACTTTTTCACAATAAAAATAATTAATACGCAAAAAGGGTGAGCTTATAATCTGAACTATCTGCACGTAAGGTATTGACCCAGAGATAAATCAAATGTTACATAAGTCATGGAAAAATATTTTCCGGTCCAGTCATGTCAAAAATTTCTTTTGAGTCTCTTTAATAAGAGGTATAAGTTTTAGAAAAAGAATAGTTCACTCAGGAGCTCAGCTTTTTAGAGAGAAAAATTTCTCTTTTCAAGAAATGAAACAGAAAGGAATGGATTGGCAAGTATTTAAAAGGTTCCTTATAATATTTCATTATATACTTATACATGAAACATTGAGGAAAAAATGATGAAACAAAATATGTATCAAGTGCATATTTTAATTTTCAGTATTTTCACAGTAAAGTTTATTTTTCACTGCAGTGAAACATATTTTACGTATTTCCACTATTTTCTTGCTTGACTACTTTTTTTTCTAAATAAAGCTAATACAGAAAATGAATGGGAGAGTCTTTCGATTTGTAGGGTGAAAGGAAAAAAATACATTGCTATTATTTGCTAAAACACAACCCTTTTTAATTTTCATTTCTCTTAGTAATGTCCTACTTATAAAAACAGTAGAGGTTTTATAAGAAAGATAATCCTTTTAATACTGGCTTTTCCAAATCATGTTTCGACATTGTCATGTAATTATATTAATTAAATTTGTATGAAATATCTGAAATGTTTAAACTAACGCAAGTGTACTTATATAGCTATCATTCTATGTGTATAACAATGTCATGTGACATGTTATGTGTCACGATAATGACCTTGTATCACATGATACGTCACATGTCGGATGCTATAGAAATATTTTCGCGGTAGTTAGTAAGTAGATGGTTCGATATTTTTGACAGACCGTCGGTGTGCTATTAAAACATACTAGAAAATACATTGAATATATCAAAGTTGTTTTTACAAAATTAATGTTTATAAAAGGATCAGCGACAGCTGTAAGGCTTATTAAACACTTCATGTTACATTAAAATATTACATTACCTTGATACATATACTGAAACAAAAAAGAAACTTTCTCCAAGTTTGAATGTAGTTATGTTAGTACAGTTTTTGAATCCTTTTAAAACTCGATTTTTACGTTGAATAAACATATCGGGCTTTTATACGAGGATTAGCTGACCCATTTTGCAAACAAAACGAGTTTTGCAAGCTACTACATGTGTATAAGTGTGTACATCTAAGTGGTACTCTTGAACAACTGGCACGTACTTTGCGAAAGTTTCTTTTTTGGTTCAGTATATATAAATGCATCTATTGATCTTAAGCGACGTGCTTTTCATCTATTAAACTGTATGTAAGTGATAAAAAAACAAGTGTAACAAAATAATATGGTATATTTCTCAACTTAACATATGTAAACAATATCCAATAAATATTACCCTACCATAAAGGGAAGGGAGATATTTGAACTTTGACCCCGGTCTTTTAATTAATAAAACAGTGGTGTTCTGAATGTATTGAAAACTTTTGATATTTCTGTTTCTGTTGATGTGTTTTTTTCTTGTTAAGTTTAAACAATATGTTTTTATAATCTATACATTTACATAATAGGGTATATAGAATAAAATTTACGGATTTTTAGTTTGTGTGTAAGAAATAAATATAATTGAGCCGCGTCATGACAAAACCAACATAGTGGGTTTGCGACCAGCATGGATCCAGACCAACCTGTGCATCCGCACAGTCTGATCAGGATCCATGCTGTTCGCTTACAAACTCTATAACAAGTAGAGAAACTGATAGCGAACAGCATGGATCCTGATATACCCATTATGGTGGTTTTGTCGTGACGCGGCTCAATTATGCTTCGGTATTTACACGAAACTAAAACTTTTGGTGGCTTTGTTTGTATTTGTGATTCTCCGAATGGAGGTTAGAAAATTTAAATTAAGGAGAACAAACTTTGAAAAAATGCGGAAATGTCTTAAGTAACGTGTGATTGACATTTAATTGGGCTTTTTTAAAAATTTAATTGTTTTTGATTACACTGTGGGTAACTGATGACTTCAAATGAATTCTAGAGAGTCCTGCACCTTAATGAAGAGTGTCCATATCAGTATATATATTGTGTGATTTCTGGTTGGAGGGGGGGGGGTAAATATAAATTGTTGTCAGTACGCAACGAATGAATTTGATGTATGACATATATCATTGAGTAATGCTTAGCATCTCGTTTACTGCTTATGGAAAAGATTTTGAAAAATTTGGAATACACTGAACTCCAAAATTTCTCATTTTCAGGTCCCCTGTCCATGACATGTAAATGAAATGTATGGATAAGACTTCAATTAAGAATATATATGTTATTAACTACCGACTCATGAGTTTATTTATAGTTTTATACTATATTGTCGTAACATGTGATTGTTTAAAGTTTCTGACGTCACGTTAATATACGATATTCTATCACTTATTAATTAATGTCATACTTTTATTGACAATATTATTGTTTCGGCATATAGAT